GACCTAGGTACGTATGCGTGTAACGTGACTTGTGAATAGGATGGATCTACATCACTTGACATTACGTACGTATTTTTACGACTTTTGAACACATGAAGCCCATTCAGGAAAATACAACAAAGTTTTAGACGTCGCCACCGATACTGGTCATGTCGCCTACGCTCTCACCTCTAAATTTGCACAAGTACATGCTACCGATCTCTCCCGAATCATGCTCTCTAATGCGCTACACACTCCAAATATTCGTTATTCGGTTTCGACCGCAGATCTTTCACAATTTCTATCTTCAATGTTTGACCTTGTTACCATTGGACAGGCAGCGCATTGGTTTAGAATCCAAGAATTTTTTAACGAGGCGAATATAATTTTGATACCAAATGGTACATTGGTCATTTGAGGATACAAGTTTCACGAGATCGATGGACATCCCGAAGCTAGGAGAATGCTTCGAAGTTTAGTGATGGGCATGGGGGTGATGAGTTAGGAAAATGCTGGGAGGATGGAAGGCAGGTGATGAATGATTTGAACCAATCGTTCATATTATCAGAGACCTTATTCAAGGACATTAAAGTGCAGAGGAAGGAAAAGGAAATGAAGAGTTGATAATTGAAATAAGAATGGGGCACCGAACAAATTATCAATTATATGAAGGTGATTTTTTAATAACAGCGAAGATGATGCATATAATTTTACTAATTGATTTCCTTTATAATCTTTTATAAAGACGTGGAGTGCTTATGAAAATTTCTTGGTCAATAATAAATCATGATCTGGTTGATAATTTGATCGGTCGATGAAACAAGTCGAAGGGTGGTATCAAGGTCAAAAGTTTCAAATTAGGTGACCCTTGGTTTTTATTTTTGCCGCGAAAAGGGGATAAATGTTATACGTTCTAATGTTTCATTCAGATTCGTGTATATTTTAATATTTTAGTTAAATATAGTATAATTCGTGATGCGATAAATATAATACGCGTTTATATAATTTTTACTTTGAAGGTATTTTGGATAGTACGCACCATACAAATAAACGTGTTTCTTCAATTAGCGCAAAATATGTACGGTATATGAAGTTCGAAGTTGATAAGAGGACGTTTTGCATGTATAAATGGTATTAAAATACACCGCAATTCCCGTGAATACGTACTGTATTACGTTATCAGTAGCCAGTGATGTATTACGTAAATCCGATGCATTTTTAAAAAATATTGAGTACGTAATTGACATCGTATTTGAATTCTATCGTGTACTTTTGTGATAAAAAACAGACTAGAAAAGTTCCACGTTCCTGATTTCATTAAGTCAGGAATAACATAATATAATAATTAAATTCTCATTACAGGATCATCAAACCGAACACAGTATTAAGGGAACACGAAATTGAATTTTTTAAGGATTTTAATTTGATATCATTACTGATTAATTAATTAATTACTTGATCTTTATAAGGCGATTTTCAAATAGTTCAAGCTGATTTTTGAAGAACTGATTTAGGAAACGAAGAGTAAAATTTTAAGATTTTTCTAATTTAGAGAAAACACGAACTTCGATGTTATTCACGAGAGATATCAAATTAATGTTTAACGAAGGGTTAAAAATACATTCACAAAATGCATAGGACAAAAAGTATATATAACCACACTTTGCGAGTTCTCCATTTTTCGACAACAACGCCATAGTTAATCGTAAACAAAAAAAAAAAGTCATTAATCCGATTTCGTTAGTTAAAATGCACGCAAAAAGCCTTTTGATTGTATTGACAGTTTTGGTTTTAGTCAAGTGCTCTTTTGTTCAATCGCATATTGTGAAGAATGAAGGTCAAGGAATTGCGAAAAGAGATGAAGGAAGTACTGCTTACCCACCCTGGACTAAAACTGTGACTATCACCGAGACCGAATACCCCACTCACACCCACACCCACACCCACACCCACACCCACACCAAACCCACCTATACCAACACCCAAAATAATTACCCCCCTTCTGAAACCGATGGACCTTTTGAAGAGGATGGAGATGGAGAGGATGGCGAATAATTACGATGACGTCGCGAGGTTCTTCTCTTAAACCTATATATACTTCTAAAGAATTACACCACTAGTATATCTTTTTGAATATTTTGATGTGTAAATATGTTACTTTAAAATTCTTTCTTTTATTTTATTCTTTTTTTAGATTCTTTCCTTCCCCTTTTTAATCCCTTCCTTCTTCTTCCGTTGTATAAAATTTTCTTCGTTCCTATATTTTTTAGAATCTATTTTTTTATAATGGCTATTTTTTCTTCTTTGTACGCCTGGTGTTATTTTTTGTTCTCACAAATTTTTTGTATTTTTGAATAAAAATTTTGCCAAACTCGGACGTGTTTTTGTATTAAAAAAAAAAAAGGAATTTTATGAATGTATGCTTAAACACGTGAAACGCACATTGCATATTCAAAAAAAAAAAAAAAATATTAATGATGGGCGAGTTAACGTAATACAGTACTTTATTAGAATTGTTCAAGTTTGTATATTTCAATTATCTGTACTTCATCTATCAGACGACAAAATTCATTGGTTTCATCAATTGACGTATCTCTCCAAGTTCAGTAGATATCCAACCACGTGATTTACATCTCATCTCGCTTTCAACCATCCAGGTTCACCTTCAACACTGCTACTCTCACCGATATTATTATTTTCACTTTCATCGTTTCCCTCTCCACTAGACCTATTCCAGCGGCAGTGAAAATCGCATTGACATAATTCAAGCCTCTCGTGAAGCCTAATAAGCTCTAATCCTTTCGACAACAAGATAATGGTAATTAATGGATAGAAAGAAACAGACAATAACCTCACAATAGTAATAAAAAGTAAAATTGTAAGTATTATTTTCACTATTTTTTGGAAGATGGAACGATTCTTGCAGCAGCGTTGATGATAAAAACCACGAAGAGAAAATTGCGCATGGGCAAGTGACGAAAATCGTGAACAACTAGAAGATCGGTTAAAAAAAGGATTTGATTCTTCTCTCAAATCGTTTTCATCTTGCTCTCGGATACCAATTTTTGATGATTGTCCCTTATTTTGCGATGAGTTTGTGAGTGAGCATGTTTTGTTGTCGATGGTTTTATGTTGCAACGTATTTGACTCTATTTGAAGTTTTCGTTTTTCATCTCGTTGCGTTCCCCCAGAAACGTAACCAGTAGAGACAGTAGGTTCAAAAATTGGCTCTTCCGTCATCACAAACTCGGGCGTCATGGGCCCGTTCTCGGAGGAATCGTCGCAAGGTACGTTATTTTCGTATTCACTATCATCACCATCACCATTAGTTAAACTGACCCATCCTTCTTTGGCATGCGCTGTAGTACCTCCAAAGATCCAACTGCTGTTATCCTCATGCCCTAAATCCCCTCTGTTACTAGGTACGATTAATGCAAATTTTAAAAAGGCATCATTGTCCGACCTTTCGTCATCATATTCCTGAGCAGAAATGACTTCAAAAAGCTCGATATCAGTAGAGAGCGTTATGACATCATCGTCTTCGTCGGTGTATGAAAGGAGGATTGATTTACTCGTGGGAACATTAAATAGGGAATGGAGTTTGGCTTCTAAAGTTGACCAAGTAGTTGTCTGAGAGATTGCGAGACGACGAGAGGTTTTATTATATGTTACTTCGATGCTTGACATGATGAACCCTGCTGATAATTATTGATTATTAACGGGGTCAAACCAGGAGACGTTAAATGAATGAAAGATTGAGAATTTTTACCAAAGAAACCATTTTATCCTAATTTATACTTTCTACCTTTATGTTGGAATCGACGAATGACCATTACTCCGCCTATTCATATTGCTGGTAGATACATGCGTACACACGTATAAGGTGTTTACATATTTACATATCTCATGCGTTTGGAACAAATCTATGCCTATATTCTTATGCTATGACAACGTTAATGAATTGCGCACATTTTCCTTGAAACTTTTTGTTTGCATTTATGTGCGTACTTTACGCATGTACAGTACAACCACCAGGGACAATAGAAAGTTTTCTTTTTTTTTGCTTATATGGTCACCATATTTTTTGTATCATCACCTGACTTTTTGTGTAAAATGAGTCATAACATGGACATACGTAATTGTTCCCAGATGCTAAGCATTATTATGTTTTTAGCATATACTGTACCGTAAATCGAAACATTAAATTGTATCAAAGAATCTAAGCGAATGACAGCGACTTCCTGGTATACGTCACCTAGAAAATGAAAATTTTTCATAGGAACATAAAGAATGAATTGTGGAATGATTTTAATAAAAAATTTATTGCTCCTTTAATCTGTGATCATTGATCAAAGCAACGGTTTATAAGGATCATAAATACAGTATGTAAAGTTGCATAAGTAGATTGACTCATGCAAAATAAAATATTTATAAATACAAATGATTAATATCTTGTTACTATTAATTGTTTAATTGCACCTGAATTACACCTGGCTTATATTATTTATATTAAAATTCTGTTAAATAAAATCGGCAATTGATAACTATTATTGCTCTTATATTTCATAAAAAAAAAAAAAAAAAGAAATAGAAAAAGAAATAAAAAAAATTTTTTTTAATAAATTCATAAAAATAATTTCAAAAAATTTTTAATACATTTAATTCAAATTCAAATTAAATAAATGGATTTATTATCTAAGTAAATAAATAAATTAATTATAATTATATTTTTATATTTTAGTTCTTATGATTTTATTTAATAACGATAATGATAAAACACAAATAATTATAAATAATTTATTTATTTATTTATTTTTATAAAAATTCTTATTACAAAGTAAAATAGTTATATAATCTGATAAATATATTCGTAATTATTTATTGCGGTTTATTTATTATATATTAGTATTAATTTAAATTTTAATAAAAATTTTAATAAAATTATAAATTTAAATTATTTAAATTCATGAATTTTATTTAAAAATTTAAATTGATACTGAATTTTAAATAATAAAATATCAAATAAATTTATTTTCAAAACCAATTTATAATAATAGATTTGTTTATTATTTTTTTTCTTTAAAATGAATTTATATTTTCAAAATAAAATTTTATAATTTGAAATATTTAAAAAATTACATTTACAATTAAAATAAAAAAATAAAATTCCTTTAAAATTATGTGACATCAATAATTCTTACAAAACAAAAGTTTGAATAATTCTATTTTAAAATTTTTTTTCAAAAAAATATAATAGAAATTATATATATTATTTAGTTTCAAACTTTACATTAATAATTAATTCTATTGAATAAATTTAAATTTTGAATTATAAAATATTTTTATTTAATATTAAAAAAATTAAAAAAATTAAAATATTAAAATTTAAATGTAATGATATTTAATAAACAATAAAAATTTCAATTTTTAAAACAATATAAATTTACATTAAAAATATATAATTAAATCATTCATATAAAGTATAAATTAGTTTTATTAAAATATAAATTAAATTGATAAATTTAACTTGTTATTTTAATCTATTGCTTATTTCTCAAAAAAAAATTTTTTTAAATATAATAATTGATTATAAATAAATTTAGGAATGCAATTATAATTTTAAAATTAATTTCGTGCAATAAAAAAAAATTATTCATTATACAATAAAATCATTCAAATTATAATAAAATAATGAAATTATTTTTATATTCAAATAATTTTATTGAATCATATTTTTATAATTTAAAATAAACAATGCATCATCAAGTTTTGTTTTCATTAAATAATTATTCATTAAAAATTTAAATATCAATAACGAATAAAATACGAAAAGTCAAATGAAGTATAGATTTGGTTTTGGTTTTTTTTTTTTAAAAAAAATTATTTAAATTAAGAATAACTTACTGTAAATGAATTTTCTTTTAAATCAAACTTGCTAAATTATGTATACAGTATACGTATATAAAAAATTACTCAATTTGTGTATCCTGACACGCAATGAATTACATATTTGTGATACAGACTTACATTTAACCCCGACAAATTTTTATTCGAAAAAAAACAGCATTCAGCGTCATCAATAGTTGCCCTGTGAAAATTCGTAAAAGTATGATTTATGTAAAACGATGGGTTTACGATTTTTGATAAAACTAATTTGTTTCTATTTTAGATGTATGCCGATGAAATTATATATAACGAAAAAACGATTAAAGCTTGGGAAAAGGCATGTGCATCTTTAGATTATGATAAATACCCGACATATCGTCAACGAGAAGATTATATATGCCGACAATTTCAAAATGATTTATCGTTAACCGATTCCGAAAAAAATAGTTTGTTATTTCAACTTCAAAAATTTTATGATTTATTCAGAATTCAACATTGCTATGAAAAACGAATATGTGATGAATGCCAAGGTTGGTGTCATGCAACATTGTACTGTGAATTATGCATTCGAAAATTTCTAGAAAAAAATTTTGGAAATTGGTCTTCTGGAAATGATGAAATAGATAGATTGATTCAAGAATGTCAGCTTATTTCCGTTTCACCGAGGGATATTGTCGAATGGATAGAATACGAACAACTTCAGGATGTAACATATAAAACAAAGGGAGGATGTTCTACAATTTATAATGCGACCTGGAGGGATGGTTTTTATTATAGATGGAATAGTAAAACACATTCATTAGAAAGGTATGGTCAACATAATGTCATATTGAAAAGGTTAGAAAATTCAGCTAATAGTAGTGGTGAATGGTTTCAAGAGGTTTGTTAATTCGTTTGTTTTAATATTTTTAAGCATTAAATAATGATATTATTTCGATTAATTAGGTTAAATCGCAATTTACTCTTGATAATACTTCGAGATATTTGACCAAATGCTATGGATTAACCCGAGATCCCCAGAGCAAAGATTATATGATTGTTTTACATTTGTTTTCTAGCGATTTGAGACATTATTTAATGGAAAATCATTTATCAAATACTTGGGTGAATAAATATTGGATAATAACTGTCTTATCAGATAGTCTGAATGAAATTCACAAAAAAAAACGCAGTGCATAGAGACTTACATTCTGGTAATATATTATTTGATGCAACTACAAATGACTATAAAATTAGCGATATGAGATTTTGTGGGCCAGTAGATAAACCATTAAATAAAATTTATGGGAACCTCCCTTACATTGCACCAGAGGTACTATGTGGTAAACGACACACACAAAAGTCGGATATATATAGCTTAGGAATTTTAATGTGGGAGGTGGCAACTGGAGAAGTTCCGTTTAATTACATTGAACATAATCATGATTTAGCCTTAGCAATTATTAGCGGTATACGCCCAAAGATTCACCAAAATATCCCTGCGGAATATGTTCGGATAATGAAACAATGTTGGGACGCTAATTCTGAAAATAGACCAGATGCAGATACGATTAGGTGGAGATTTCTAGACTTGAGAAAGGAAGCGTACAAAGAAGAATCTCAACAAAATAAAATCCAACTTAGACTTTCCAGAACAAAAGAGTTGGATTTTTTTATTAATAAAATAACCAAAAGGAAGAATAAACAATATTCGATCACAATTCAAAAATCGAACCCAAATTGTAGTCAAACAAGTAGTATTTACTCGTTTTCTAATATGCCCGCGCCGAAAAATGCAACTTTAGGTACACGCATATTATCTTATGTCTTCAAATTAATATCTGTCATTAACATTTTGTTATTTTTAAAATTTGAACTTTATAGTAGAACAGAAAGGTAGTATTTGCTTTAAGGAGGATATACTTATTATAAATATTTTATAATACTAAAATGCGATTACATACCTATTATTATACAGCATTTGATTCTTAGTATGAATTGACTATCTCTAAAGGTAAAATTGATTTATTATTACGCTTTATTGAATGATTTTATTGATTATCTTTATTATTAGCATTTGGTGATATCTGTCTTGATAGCAAGAAGAAAGGAAGTGTTGAAAGTTACCCGAGCGGTAAGGAGAATAAGAAAAAGAAATTATTTTTAATCTATTTTTTCATAACGTAAAATAAACGCTTTATCACGACTAGATGGAGAACCAGGACCTTCGAATCCAACGTCTTAGAAATAAACCTGAATTTGCATTTCGTGTTTACTTTTGCACAGTTTTTCTTATATAACAATAAGAAAAATATTGCAATAAAATTTCGGATTATTTTAATAGGAACCATAGTATATATGTATTTACAGTATATGCTTTGTCTAAATATTATATTCATTACGTATAGCGATTTTTGTTCAATAGTATTATTTATATTTATTTATAT